AAGAAAAAAGGTTTTAAGCGAAAAGGTCAGAATAAGCCTAAAAAATTTTAAATAACGGGAAAAGGCTTAACATTTGGGATAAAAAGTGAAAGCTCCAAAAACAGTAATTTTCAAATAATCTGGTGCTGCCATCTATTATTATTTAACGTAATTGAATGGCTAACACGTGCTGCCATCTATTGCAATGAATGTAAACGAGATAAAAGTAACGTATGTTTTAATATGATTTCTGTCTGGTGCTGCCATCTATTATAAATTGGTGTAAACTAATTAGATATTTCTTTTATCCAAAGAAAATTTACATTCAAAATGATCGGGTGTCTCAAATACCGCTGTAGTGATTTATGATAATTTTAGTTTATTTATTATTGCAGTATTAGCAGATATTGGGCAAATTTCGATATTTTGAGTGAAAAAAAACGTTTATACAGTATGCATTTGTCACTAACTTTGAACTTTTTTAATGGGCTTTTAATAGTATAACTTGCAACAGGCGTCAGCAATTTTTTTTTGCTTGCGGGTCAAAATCAACCAAAATGTGTGTATTAAGATGTTTCGGGTCAGTGGTATTTTAATTTTAGAACACTCTTCCTTGGTGAATAATACGATTTTTTTTTTTTTTTTTTTTTTAGAAAATCAATTACGCTTTAAACTGTTTTAAATAGTTAAAAAATTTTAAACATGATTATTCTATGTTATGCAATATATTAATCATCTCCTGTAGCTCATTGCTACCAAATACTTTAAGCCGAACAAATTTTCTATAATCGGCGTACCGAAGGATAACTATTATCCTTTATGAAACCGTTAAGTTTTTTTTTTTTTTTTTTTGTTGCACAATAACTAAAATATTTAAGATTACTCTACCTGGCTTATTAAATTGTATTTGCCACTAAAACTTTTCCCTCACCCTGATGATTATTGTTTTCATCTCATGAAAGACTTGGGCAAAGATGATATTGGAGAAAAGAATTGCGACCTTTACATTAAAATTTATGCTTGAAAATGGATCAGTTAATCTCATTATCATTGATCTGTTTTACTACTTTTACCGTAATAATAACATCAGCAAAATACATTTTGGTCGCCGGGGGAGCAAGGAGAAATGATAATTGGAATTTTAATACACCCAAGAAAAAACCATACCGCTTTATTCTGCAGCCCCCCCCCCCCCCCCCTCCCCCCCCCCCCCACCCCCCCCGCCCCCCCCCCCCCCCTCACTCCTGGGACCGGAAGCTTCCACCTCAGGTTTTTCAACCGGGACTTAACCCTTATATTCTTGCAAATATAACAACGCGCGCATCACACACCCCCCCGTACACGATATTTCACTTATCCTTAAGCACAGAAAAAATGGACCCCCCCCCCCAGCGGCCTAGTGCCTCCGGCGGCTTGCGGTGCCAACATTACCCTTATCCGTCTCGCGAGAGGGAAAAGAATTCTCCCTGCCCATTATAATACCCAGCAAAATTGATTTTTTCAATGCGGCCCCGTTTCAATATGAATTGCGAAAGGTCGTCAGAACCTTTTCCCCGTTGATTCGCCCAGCTCACCAAATAACACCAAACAATGTGTCCCCCCTATATTAAGAAGCATCCGGTTGCGGTTTAGCTTGCTCCTCCTAGTGTGTATTTTCATTTCCGCCATAGAAACCCTCTTCCTTCGCCCTCCTAGTGAAATAAGACTTCTATGAGGAAAATAATTACCATCGCTTAAATTTTAAACATAAATAAACAGTAATTTTAATATTATAAAAACACAGCTTAACTGACCTGTTTAAACTCTTGTTTTTTCTTTTCGATATCAATGGTTCCACCGATGCTGATCTTTTTATCATCTTATGCTTCATTCGCCTCTGAACTTTCGGAGTTCAGGTGCTTGTTCTTGCTAAAATCCGTTCATGCGTAAGCGTATTGATGATTTCATGACTCGAATGCGCCCCCCTGGCCCAAGAAACAGAGTTGCGTTTTTTTTCCTTCTCGCGTATTGTTTTCGGTTCCCCCTTGATTTGCTTGAAATCTGTTAAATTTTACGTTTAAAACTTCCCCGCCTCTTGCTCCTATCGCACCCCGTTCTGCATACCACCACACTACGTATTTGCATTATTATTTTTCACAGTTTTTTTATCGTGTCTTCATTCCACGTGCTCCTTTCCTTATTTGGTTTACTTTTTTTATACTTATAGTTTTTCGCTCCGTCGACTTCCTCGGTGCCGGGGTCAGGCTTCGGCGGCCGACCAACGGTTCGGTACACCTGGAACCCGACTCCTGAATTACGACCTTTCTCATGATATAACTCGTTGCGCCGCCGAGATTGCTGCCCCTCCGTTGCACCTACCCTGCGCCTGCTACCTGTTGGCACCACCCTCCCGTACCCGCCTCACTTCCACTCCCGCAGAATACCCCCTGTAACAATACCCCATTTTACACACATTTAGATTAACCAAACGAACGAAAAAGAATATCCTCCAGACACCCATTCTCCGCCTGCCTTTACTTTCAGTTCCCCCCTTTACCACTTCCCGCACTTGCTGACTGTTGGCTTCTAACCCTCTCATCACACCTCCCCCCCCCCCCCCCCCCCCCCCCCCCCCCCCCCCCTTCCCCCCCCCCCCCCCTCCCCCCCCCCCCTCCCCCCCTCCACCCCCCCGCACGCAGACATCTGTAAATCGTAGTTCTCTCCTTAATTTCCCCCCCACCCCCCTATATTTCACTTTTCTTCCCCCATGTTTGGCTCTATTATTTTTGATCCCCATGCTTCACTTCCTCGACTGCCCCCCTCGTCTATTCCGTACCACCATTCACCCCAGAGAGTATGTAGATCCTAATTTGAGGCCACGCTTCTACCACATGACGTAGCTGCTATATCTTAGCTCCGCACCTATTCCGGCTTCCACTAAGAAGACCTTAGCACCCTCTATACCAAACTCGATGACCAAAACACACAAACTCAGCGACGTTCCCCCACCACCCCCCTGGCACTACTGCAGCTACACAGCAGGTTCCACCCCCTAATCTTTAACTTTACTTCATTGTATTAGTGTTGTGCTTGTGCATTTTCTCCAGCAGCAACCCGAATTCCACGTCTCGGTGTCCGTTCCCCGTTTCTTACGCGTCCTTATTTTTTTTTGCGCGTGTGTTTTTTTTTCTAGAAGTTCACGTTGATCTCTCTGATTGGAGATTTGCTTGACCGTACCAAGCGCTACTTCTCCGCTCAGCAGCCAAACGCCCCCCGTACCCGCACATTTGTCTCCGTACTACATCACGAATGTTGTGTCCTCTTTTCCGCTCAAAATGGGCTTGGAAATCTAATGAACTTCATTTCTGAAGAATTTTAAGCGTTTCACTGATGTTGGTACGGATTTATTTTTGCCTACTTGTGACTTTTCGCTGACCCTTCATCCGCCACCTCTTTTCTTCGGACCCGGCACAGCGAAAATCTGTTACTGCCACCAACAATATGAAATTTTTACATGCATAACACAACACCACCCCTCCCAGGACACACTTAAGTTGCCATATGTATTACATCCTCCCAACTGGGCACAAATCTTGTAACACACTCACCTTTTTCCTCCTCATATTCATTCAAGACCCACACTATGCGTCCCAAATGAATGGCGTCAACGGACACTTCGATCACAATCTAAAAGCCGCTCCCACTACACCACACAGGAAACCGGTCTTGCGCCCCCACACAGGTATTCCTCCTATTACCACTCCCAACAATACTCAGAGGTAACAGTTAACCCACACCCCACCCCACATAACCCCCCCTTGTGCTAGTTTAGGTTTGAGAAGTTTGTATTTATCTGTAAATAAATTAATAAATTAATGTGTCTTCATGTGTAAATTTACATGTTTTATATGCTATGAACTGACTGCTAAGCACAGATATTGCAAAGTGCAAATTTGGAAAACGAAGTAGGATTTAGATAAAGCTTCATTTGTATTTCTTGTTGATTGACCATGATATACAGGATATCCAAAATGTCCTTGAATAGCTTTAAACAGTCGTTGTTTGGGAATGGATATCTTTTGGTATTTGTAACACTCTCACAAGCCAGGTTTTTGTAACGAGCGAAACAACGAGCAAGGTTTTGTGATAAATTCCACATAGGGCAAATTGATCTCTAGTTGACTGTCATCCAGTTGTGGGCAAATGTAATTTATGAATGTATCGAGATAAACTCAAGTTTTTTTTTTTTAATTTTTTATTTTTAAATTTTATTATTAAAGTAACGTGGTCCTAAAATCATGCCTTGCGGCATCCCACACCACATTCATTTTCAGGTCGTTCCTATTCACCTCGCACCTCGCTTGTGACATGAGTATTTTCAGATCCCTACATTATGTGTATATAAAACCTAAATAAACTTTTGGGGGGAATTTTTGGTATACGTGTAAAAACGTAACAAAAATAAAAACGTTACCTCTTAAAAGGTGTCCACAATAATAGGGTAAAGTTGTTCGGAAACTTTATGGACACCCTATATATTAATTTATTAATAAGCATTTCAAACCAGAGGCCTTGGAATGGACACAGTTTAACGAGAGAACTAAAACAGAAGCCAATAACTGCTTTACATAATTTTCCTGTCGACGAGAGGAATAAGGTATTTGAAACTTTAAGCTATTTCAAGCAAAGAGGTATAACATTAAAATTAATTTAAAGCCTCATTTTTGTTATTATTCACAAAAAAAATTATTTTTTGAAAACGTACGTAACCTAGAATGCAAATAGGAAAAAATAGACGTGCATTCATTAATTATTTTTCATGACTCGTTAAATGTAATCATGAGTTTGTCATACTGACAAGCTACATAATTACTTCACAGTTAAGGATTATTTTTTTATTATAAACAATAAATTAAAAAATAAAGAACACACGGCATTTCCAAACAAAGTAAGCAGGGTTAAGCGAGAATTTTAAAAGCAAATTATAAGCGAATAAATCTAAAATGTTTAAACACAGTTTAAGACAAATCAGAAAGATTTACCCTGTACGTGGACCAGAATTTCGCCCTGAGTTCTGCAAAGATGTCTTCCCTACCTTCCAAAATTCCCATTCCTGAAAAGAAAAGTTAATTATTTCTAGGAATTCTAAAATTCATACTGGCATATCGCCAGACGGAACAGTCTATTTCAGAATGCAAATGAGGTTAAGTAAGGAGATATTTATCTTTTTAACTGCATAGAAAACACAGTACCTTGCTTTAGAAGTTCTACTTAAAAGACGACTTTACTGAAACAGTTAGTAATAAACATTTATTTGGATTTACTACGACTACAGTATATTCCGATAATCAGAAACTCCTTTCAAGAAGGGGAAAAAGGCCTAATAGATATTTCCTATACGATATGTGAAGAAATTTTATTTTAACTTTTTTTATATTCTTTCGCAACAAAACTTTCGTATACTGTAATGGCCAAAAAATTCGGGTGTCATATTTCATCAGAAATATCTATTCTGACCGTTCCCCAATCCATTTGGACGATTTTTTTTTTTTTTTTTTTTTTTTTTTTTTTTTTTTTTTTTTGCTTGACGCCTACACGTACGGACAGAATAAAGTGCTCTTTATCTCCAAACGAAATGTAAAATGGATTTAATTTTTTTTTTCCGTGACGTCTGTACGTATGTATGTATCACACATAACTCAAAACTGATTAGCCGTAGAATATGAAATTTTGTGTATGGGATTGCTATAACATCTAGTTGTGCACCTCTCTATTTTTATTTTGATCGGCAGCTCCAAATTTATATATATCTATATACACCCAACCGTTTAATCGGTCTTTATTTCCGCAATCGTTGGTCGTAGTCATATACTTACAATTACAGAAGTGTTTTGAATGGCGAAAATATTCCTCTTTTACAATGTCAATTTTTTTTTAATAAAATTAATTTTCGACAAATAAAGAAATCTAACATTTAATGGTCTTGTGGTTCCTGCACTTATATTTGGTAAAGTTCAATGCTCGTTGTGAAAAAAGAAAAGTATAAGAGGTTTGATTCTCGAACAAAAAAAATTGACCGAGATATTTAATTTCAAAATTTGTAGTTTTTGATGTCATTTTCAACTTGCTTTGAGGGATCGGTTAATTAAATTAGAATAGTTCGAGGATATAAATTCAAATGAAGTGTAGAAAAAAAGGTGCATAATTTAATGAATTACTTATTTCTGTTTAACTGAAATTTGATGTAATCTAATATCTGAGCATTTATTTGTTGGGAGAGGTTGAACGCCGCGGTCATTTAGCCATCTCATCATCGAGAATGTTGCCCAGAGTAGGAAGATATCGTATATAAAAAGGGAAGGAGTAGAGAGAGTGTAAACACAACTAAGCCTTACTTGAGAATCAAACCTCACCCTTAGTTTCACAATATGAATTATCCCCCGTAAGATACCATATCGTCCAAGCCGGATATCCATCTAAATCCATTTATAAGTGACGTAAGCAATCAAATAGACAGTAACAACAATACACATCATTATTACATTTGGTGTTACATATAGTAATAAAAATTTGCTGCATATTTTCAGAACATAAACTTGTTATGTTGACCATATCCGAATTATTAAAATTAGTAGCTTAAAAGTTAAAAGTAGTAGCTTAAAATTAGTTTGATAAAAATAATGCAAAATAATAGTGCAATGTATAAAAATGAGTTTTTTTTTTTTTAAAAATCAGTTTTTTATCAAGTCATATATATATATATATATATATTGGCATTAATTTCTACCCGTGTTTGAATCCCGGAGAAGGCATGGATGTTTGTAAATGTATAGTGTCTTTGAGGCATGGGGGCACTCTATGGCGAGCCGAAGAGAGTAGGGGAGAGGGGTGGAGGTCTTCGGACCACCACTGAGGTGCTCTCCCTCAAAATTGGGGGTGGAAGTAGAAGTCCAACCTCCTTGAGGTTCTGGCAACCATTCTTCCATGAATTACATGAACAAGATAACAACAACAATTCAGTATTTTATATTCGAAGCGGGCTTGTCAATATGTTTTATCAGCTAGAAAGCGCAGTATTATAAAATCACCATAGCTTAAAATGGAATGACTAAATCTGGTAGGAGTTCTGGTAGGATTCTGTGTTTGTAATGAAATAGGAGAAACATGAAAGAAATCTAATAAATGTTTAGAAACTTGGTTCTTGGCGGCAGTCCAAAATTAAACCGTGAAATAACATAGTCTTTCCTAAGAAAAGCTACAGTTAAGTTGCCCGAATAATCTCTACCTCTGATAGCTGCACATCACGAGTGCATAATGTCACGATATTTTGCATTTTGATACTTAAAAACACGAAAATCTTTTCAGCTTATAATCAATGCGGTAGTATAGGCGATTCGCTTAATAAGCAAATAAGATTTCCGAAAGAGAAACTAAGGAAGTAAAATTTTGATCTAAAGAACGTTGTAATTTTAAGCTTATTAAAAATAAGAAAATAAAAAAGCAAACTTAGATTAGCGTAGATTTTAAATAAATTTCGACTGATTTGAAAGGCTACCTGTCATAGATTTTCTTCTTCATGAGCAATTAGTAAATAAATGTAAATGAAAATAAATTAAAAAAAAAAAAAAAAAACTGACGACATTTTGGTATTTATAATACGCCTGAGAACTTAGGTTTTATTCCGTAGACCGTTGGCGAAAAGCAACGGTCGTCAGTCGCCAATTGTTGCTGCGGAATTCTAATAAAAAAAATCTCGTTACTTGGCTAGTCAGCGGGATAAAACGTAAGCACCTACGACAGTTTGGTGGCTAACATTTTAGGGCTATTACTAGCACCTCAATTGACCCAGATTTAGGAAAACAGGTTGTTGAAGAACCCCACAAACGATTTTTGTATCGCCGTTAGAGGGCGCTTATCTTCTGAGTAAAGAAAGTTAGTTTAGTTGTTGCGAAGGGGTAGATAATGAACTATCGATACAATTCAAGTTGCTTTGTAAATAAAATGATTATTTTTGTAGATTGCTGAAGTATTGGCTTCAATTAAAATTAAGTGTGATCAACTCTCTTAAGGAAGTCAATATACGAGTAATATAAATATAATGTTTTCTCATACAGGTATGCTAATCTCTAAGCTGTGAATCTTTAAGAAGGGGAACTGCAAGGAAAATTGCAAAGGCGTGAGAAACAAAATAAAATTATAGAAAATCAATGAGTGGAGCAAAGAGAAAACGAACTTACCGCCATTTCTTGCAGAAAGCTGTAATAAGCATAAACACACATTTTATGAATGAGACATATTATGGCCTCGCCCGACTAACGATGCACAAGCTCGAGGCATTTTTAATTTGCTACTTTACATTTTTATTTTTTTTTTTTTATTTTTTTTTTTTTAGATTTTTAGCTATAATTTCCCATAGAAATTATAGCTAAAAATCCTAAGGCTAAGTTTTCAAAAATCTTTATAATAAGTTGTCTTGCTTTTCGGTGCACCTTAATTATTTTGTGAAAATTTGTTATTTTATTTTTAGTTTTAATTTCGTAATATTTTTCACGTTTTTTACTTTATAATGTCCCTCAGTACTTTGTCTATGTTAAAATGTAGAGGAACCTAATGAACTAAGTAGCGACTTGTCGCTGAGTTCGAATATTTACGACAGAATCTAGATAATGGTTGGAATACTCTTTTATTCACTCAAATAATAACAGATGGCCCCTTCTCGGGCTTACAAAAAGGCCTTCACTCGAGCTTTTAACTGAAGATAAGAAAATAAGAAATTAATCGAATACTAAACTAAACAGACTTAGCCGAAGCTAGACACAAATACCTAACGTAGTTGGCCCTGAATTTAACCTAGCCGGCGATTATCAACAGCTACGTACAATACGGCCGAGCGTAACAGATTCAAGGATGAAGAAGTCAGACGGCAAACATTCGCGACTAAGGATTCCTAAGCTCTCTCTCTCGAAGTAAGTTGAACCTTCCTTAAATACTCCTTCTAATTCATTTGCATAAAACGCGATACTAAAATCTCATTCTGGTAGGGAATAGTAGATGAGAAACGAGAATTGACAGTAAAGCATGTTTAAACTTACAATAACTGTTAGCTTATTAAAATAACCTCTATAACTTATTACAATTTTTTTTGGAAGTAGTGATTTATATATATTGTTACGGATTTTGTATTTAGTTAACTATTTTTAGTAGAATTGTAATTAAAATTGTTTTATTTCCCCGTGCAATGTAGCGCGTGGCGAGTTTTAAGAGAAATCTACGCCGAAAATATAGGAGCACGCGCATTTAATAAATAGACACTTCGTAATTTATATTTAAACTGAATCAATGTAATCGACTACTGTGTTAGCTGTGACCGTAATTCTACTGTTTTGCTTTCCAGAAACCTCGAGAAAACAGAAATTACCAGAAGATTCTCGTGCCCAATTAAAAAGCTTTAAAAAGTCGGAGAGAAACATCTCAGTTCAGTTGTTTACTTAGTTATTGTTATCAATTGTAGCAAATTTGCGGTGAGATCGGATTAGCTTTCTCTGCGCTTTGGATTGCGTTCTATTTAACGTTTTAGCAGTTTAAAATATAACTTCTGTGTGATATTGTGCGAATACCTGGGAGGAAATTCAGCATTTTGTTTTATTTCTTGCGATAAGAATAAATTTTATCAACTTTTTATCAGTGTTTACTACCCACCCTATCGAATTAATTTCCACTTTGCCCTGCGTTGGTAACACGTTTTTGAGATTTTCGTCTGAAGTATTTGGTCGCTAAATGCGTAGCTGACCTGTAATTGTTGTAATTCTTATTTTAAAGCTTATCTGTATTGCTGAATTATTACTAAAGGTTTACGTGTGAATGTTTTATTATTAAATGTATGCAGTTTGGTTTAAATAGACCGAGAGTGGTTGACTTTATTAAGGATATTTAAAATCGAAACTACTTCATCCATTTCGGCGCCATTCTAATACAGGAACGTAAACAATCAGACTAGTGCATTCAATCTATTACGAACCCGTATGCACGCAACTATATATGCAATTGAATTTATGTTATATTTACAAACGTTAAAAATTTAAAAACATTCAGAGGAGCTGCTTTAGAGTTGAT